AAAGCAAAAAGGAAGTTGCTGCTACTCCCCGTCCCCCCCCTAGCTGGACAGCTACTCCCTCAGGGCGGGGGTTTAAATAGGCAATAGTGGCCACGCCTAAGCTGTTCGAATAAAGGCTGGGATGTCAGCCTGGGTGCCTGCTGCGTCCCACGGGCAGCAATTCAAGCCCAGGCTGGGTTTCGTGAATGATCTCCTTGCTCTCGGGAAGCCCCAGTCTTGGAGAGCCCCCCCTACCCCAGGGTGAGCCAGGCGCTGCACAAACACAGAGCATGCTGCCTCCAGATGAGTGTAACAGGGAGATCCAGGTGTGGAGGCCACGACACGCATCCCAAGTGGCTGCCAACACATGTGCATGGCCCCTAGTTTGGAGCCCTCCACCTGCAAAACCTCTGCTTGGCACGTTACACACCCACCAGCTCCTATCTGCTATATAGCCCAAGAGGAAAATAGAGACAGGTTATTTCAGTTGAGGCTTTGAGGATGTTTTGTGCGCTTTGGGGCAAAGGGAAGGAGCCATGTGTGCGTGCTGAGATGAACGTGATGGTGCCTAAGGGCATCGTTCCATAATTTCTATAGGAAGCTCACTGTTTGTACAGCTCCTGACACACCAAGGTCTTAGGCCATGACAGAGGCTGCTAAGCTGCCACTGCAACCCAAACATGAGTAATGCCTGGCTACCGAAGGACACAGATAGGTTCTGTGATTAGAAAATCAGCAAGGACTGCTGCTATTGTCTCCTTGCACAACAGACACGCCAGCCGGCCAGTCTCAACTAGAGCCAGAGGGTTCTTGAATGAGGACCCATCCCTGTAGCACCTGGACACCAAGGAACAGACCCGTTCACACACACCCAAACTGGGATAAAAGCAGCGAGGACAGGGCACCCTACAAACTCCAGTGGATGAAGTGCCCCATGAAATTTAGTACCTGCCAGACTCGCTGTGTCAGGCTGGAAACAGTCCATGGCCCCCCTGTCCAGGACAACAAGACTCTGCGCCGCCAAGCTTCACGATGCAACAAACCCAGGTCCTTTGCCAAGCCACTGAGGTGTCCCTTCTCCCTGGGAAAACTGGATCCAATGTGTGGGACGTTCACCAAAGGGGGAAGCTACAAGCCTGCTGATGGCTCCTCATACTCCATGGGCACAGCTACAGCAACACAGCGATGACTACAGCCATGATCTGACCCCAGGTTCTTCAACTGACCAAACCTCCTCCTAGAGGAAGCCAACGACAAAGCCTTGCAGCAGAAGCATGGTCAGGACAGCGCTTCAGCCACCTGAGCCAGGGTCTCTAGCCACCCTCGTCTCCTCCTAGACAAAGCTTCATCTTTTCCCAGTTGCAGAAACTACATGCTGGTTCTTGCTAGGATGATCTGTCTGGGGAAACACCCCTGCTGTCCCCAGCACTTTTGCGATGCACCAGAAGGGGCACTCCATGGCCCCAAAGAACTCCCAGCCTGCACGGACCAGGAAAATCCGGCTCCTGCACAGCCTCCGAGATCTCCAGAAGGAGAAACTGTACCACATAACAATCACTAGCTGGAAACAACTGGAGGGAGGGGGGCTGATCCCATCCTAATAACAGCAGCAGCGCAGAACTCTACCTGCTCCCCCGGGGACTGGGGAAAAGCCATCCGAAGCATTAATTCTTCTACTGCAGGCTGCCCTGCTTGGAGCCACAAGACTGCAGCAGGCCATTAGAGCCATTACCATCCAACTCAGCCGGCTTCTTATCCTGCTGCGTCGGGGCCGGGGATCTCAGCCGTGGGCATGCACCAGCTCGGGGAGGCGGTAGCAAAGTCTTGTGCGAAAGCGCCCACAGCAATGGAGACAGGCGAAGGTGTCTGCAGGAGCTGGCTGGACCAGAACTGCCATCTTAGATGCAAACCAACCCACAGCAGCAGCTCTGTCAAAGGAGGCATTTTGAATCCCTTTCAGAGAGCTGCCTGCCAGCCAGTGCGGCTGGTGGCACACGCTGCGACGGATGCAGTCCCTCTGCTGCCCAGCACGATCTGCGTCTGCCGAGCCTCCGCTGTGCACACAACCGATCCAGGCACCGGGGAAGGGTAGAAGCTGTTTTGGAAAGATCTCCCCGCCCCCTGCCCTTCCTGCCTGCAGCCCGGCCAAGGGAATCAGTAGATCCAGTCTGCAGGAAGCTTCTCTAATTGGCTGCTTGTGCAGGGGGTCCTGCTTCCCCATTTGCTCACGTGCTGCCAATGGGCACCCGGATTCCCACCCTCCCATGACACTGTTGTGAAACCACCCATGAATAATCCCAAAGGGGGCACCTGCTGGTCCCTCCCAGGGCTCTGGAAGCACAAGTCAAGGTGTGTTCAAGACTGGGGCACTAGGACTATTCACAAGACACGGAAGTGAGTTTAGTGCTGGGAGAAGCCAGGGATGGAGAGTGGGCTGCTCCGGAGCTGTGGAAACCTGCCCCACGTGCTTCTCACACACAGCTCAGGCATGACATGAAGCCTCCTTTGCTCTCCAGCCCCAAGCTCCCCACACACATCACCTCCCGCTTCCCTTCCCTCCACAGTCCCTGGTAGGGTATCTGGCCAACACACCAAGTAGCAGCCCTGTCTCCTCATCCAAGCTCAGTCTCTCAGCGCTCCTCTGCTAACCCATGGCACCCATGGCCATTCCAGCCAGTCTTGGAGGCAGCCTCGCAGCAGTACTGAACTGCACTGCTCAGCTTGCGACATCGTCACACGGGCTTATCCTTCAAAGTGTCAGTGTGGACAAGACTTGTGTAGGCAGCATTTATCCTGGGGAGCACAGGTGAGGGGGGGTGCATCTGGGAGAGACCAGAGAAGACCCCCCCCTCCCCCCCCATGCAGAGGGCTTCAAGCTCTTTGTTGGGGTGGTGAGGAAGGGTCTTGCTAACACCCTCACCCTCCCTCTGCTGTCCTACCAGAAAAATACCCTTCCCTGAATGGAGGGTCTTCACATTTCTAGCTACTAGGGGACAGCTCAGGGCTTTTCCACACTGAAAGCAGCCCCTGGCCCAGCCTGATCTTCTCCTAATTATCAGGGGTAAAGGCAAGCCCCAAAATAAACAGCAGCAGCACTAACGAGGTGACAAAGGCCAGCCTCCAAGCAGGGTTTGTTTGCTTCTCAGCCTCCCTCAGTACTAGGCAAGGCCTCGTGCTCCTGAAGGTACCTTCCTACCCCCCCCCCACAACCTGCCACTGATGCAAGAGGTGAGTCAGGCCCCAGGGACAGGGATTGCTCAGGTGAACAAAGGCAAACAGTCCTCTGTTTGCTGCATCCCAACCAAAGCAAACAATGCAGCTATCAGCCAGGGAAGAGAGCTGGGACCTAGGTCCCTACCCTCAAATCCACTTCCATTTACACACCAAAGGGACCTAACATCTCCAGCCCTGCACTTCTCCAGCCCAGGGCTCCTGTCCTTACTCTGCAAGTGGGAAGGTAAACTCAGGGGGAACTTGGGAAACACTAAGAGTTATGAGTGGGGCAGGGAAGGCACAGGAAGGCCTGAGTGGGGAGTGGGCGGAAGGGAAAGTCTCAGAATCGATGCCTGGGGGCTCCCATGGACATCCACAAGATAAGGGGTGCTGAGCCTTATTTCAATCATGTGCTGCTGTAGCAACCTTTGGGCACAACCACCCCCTCTGCCCCACCTTGCATTGAGCCCAGTGAAAAGCGGGCCCAAAACTGCAGAGATGCGAACGACTGGCACAGCAACGGGGAACGTTGATCCCCCGTTCCGGGCATCAGTGCCTCCTCGCCTCCTATTTGGGGAGGGTCTCCCCATGACACCCTTCCCTGTTAGGATGGAGCAGGTCCTGAATGTGCCGGTGAGGCTGGCTCCTGGCCCTCTCAACACAGCTCAGCCACTCAGGCAACCCCCAAGCACAGCAGGAAGGGAAGCGCAGTTAGGGAAGGACCTTTCGACGCCAATGATGGAGTGAGGAACCGAGGATCTAATCCAGGTAATGCCCCAGCTGGCAATTAAAGGACCCCCTTTTCCTGCCCCAGCAACGAGATGGAAACCCTACTGACAGAGGCACTGGAAATCAGGAGCGCTGGGAAACAGATGTCACCAGGACAGGCCAGGGAGTGGTGTGCCTCACGCTGCAGAGCTTTGGGAGCCAGCCGGCCCCTGCAACGCAACATGCCTGAAACAGGCTCTTCCCAGCTGGCACGCTCTCGTCTCCCTCCCGCGCCCCCGGGAGCCTCAGCGCCGCTGCCTTCAAACTTCATCTCCAGCGCAACGGCGAGCTGCTCCCAGAGATGCTCCCCACCAGCCGGCGCTGGGGCTACGGCAGACTCCAGCTCCCCCAGGATCAATAGAAACAGCAACTCCATTGACATTCACCTGCGTTCCCATCAGCATGACACCAAGAAGCCACTGGCCTTGCACCTTCGGCCACGGACCCCGGAGCGCCTCATCCTGCCCGCTTCGTCGATTCTCCCCCCACCGCCCCCACCCCACATTGCAGACCCTGAGGAGTCTTTTCGGCCCTGCCGCCATCGTCATCGTGAAGGCTGACAGCGGACATCACCATGGTTACGTCAGGGTGATGTCATGCCCACTTCAAAGCAGGGGGAGTCTGGCCTCCCCCTGCTAATTTCCCTGGCTGCATGTCTGACCTCAGCAGATCTGAGAGAGGGAGTTAAGAAGAAAAGAAAAAGAGCTGCTGCTTTTCTGCAAAGACGGGTGGAAACAGTGCAGCTATTTATTTATTTCTTGCCTCGGCACCCGGAGAGGCATAGAAACAGCTCACGTTCCCTTCCCCCCACCCCCAACAACCTTGTAAAAAAAAAATATATATATATATCACAGGTTAAAAACACCACTGGAAAATGGCCCAACACAGAGAGATCAGAAATGCTGCAGAAGGCAAGCCTGGGTTTTAAAATGCTGCAACATTGGCTCAAGCGCTGGGTCTGATCCCCCCCCATGCTGTGGACTCCCTGCCCTGCTTTGTCGTCGACTTTTTAAGAGAGAAAAAAAAGAAGAAGAAGGTACCTTGGCTGCCAGCACTTGCTCCTGCGTCCGTGCTTCTCTATTGTCCTTTCGTTCCACCTGCAGCGGGGACGAGCACACACGCACACACACGCAAGAAAGACATTTTCAAAATCAAATCCAGCAGATCCCTGCTGTGCCCCCCCGCCCCAGCCCCACCGCCGGCAAATGCAGGCAGAGAAAGGGGGAAGGGGGGGGCTTTGTGGAGGGCTGGAGGTCTGCACCCTCACTTGCAGAAAAGCCCTCCGCGGATCCCCTTGTGACTCTGGCATTCAAAAGGCTTTTTCTGGGGAAAGGGGAAAGAAGCGCCCAGTACACGAGGGGATTTACCTGGGTCTGCTCTGGTTCCCCCTCCTGCCTCTCTGCTGGCCAGCTCACCCCCCCCCCCCTTTCCAGCGCTCCCCAGCCCTCGCCGGTCCCAGCACAAATCCGGCGCTACCAGGCAGCCATCTTGCTTCGTTCTCCTTTAAGCTCGGTTACAGACACCCTGGTGCATTCGGGGGCTTTTTTTCTTTCTGCCAGACGCTAGAGTCATTATCATACCGCTGCGCTCCGGGTCCCTCCCCCCCTCCCCAAGACACAAACACCGTGGACGTGACATGCATGCCCACTCTCCGCCTGCGAGAGAGCCAATCCCTGGCGTGTGCGTGTGTGTGTGCGTGTGTGTGTCCGGGGTGGGGGGAAGGAGGAGGAAGAGAGGGATGTGGTTTTTCTGCTCACAAGCACACTGTATCTTTGCCTCTTGTAGGTCACCGCCCCGCCACTGCCATGAGGCAAGAAACGGGCATCACTCTGCTTGGCATCAGAGAGCACCAGGCGGGTACCACTGGTTTCCGGGGAGCCGCTCCTGACAGCAGCCAGATGAGAACCGGCTGGGAAGCAGGGAGCCGGCGTGGGTTTAAAGAGCTCGCACGCCAAGCTCCCCCTCAGAGCCTGGCAATACGGGCACATCCTGCCCTCGGCAGCCACGGGGGAACGCCGCCGGCTCCACCGTCACCTGGAATCAGAATCACGCCCAGCTCCCACCTAGCGCCACGCATCAGTAGCTTTCAGGGCGCTGCGCCAAGGAAATCGGTACTGTCCTATCCTCATTTCACTGAAGGGGAAATCAAGGCACACAAAGAAGCTACGGAGCATTGCCAAGGCCACCCAGAGACATCGGCAATGCATGGGGGGATACAGGGGGGCACATGCCCC